GGGCAAACCCTCCATATTTGCTCCCACGGTCTACTGGCACCAGAGCAGTCACGAGTGTCAGCCAGATACGCACCACTCCCCCCAGCCGTTCTCGTCTCTGTTTGAAATAGTGACGCTGGCGGTGACGCTTAATCGTCGCTGACAGTGACATTGGCAATGGCCCAACTGTACGTCACGCGCAGGCGGTGATAAGAGTCTTGAATTGCTCAGGTGCTCTATATATCTCAGCTAAGTCTGAGACGATGATCATAGTATTGCGTCAAGTGATGATTAAGTCGAGTGGATGTATGAACATGCAGGTGCGCGCGCGCCGCGCGTCACACTAAGTACATGTACGCCTGCGACGCGTCTATCAAGTGCTCTACAGTGACAGTGCGGCGCATGATGATGGTGGGTTGAGGTGGGGTGACAGTAAAGGTGGTGGTGACGGATTTAATGTGGTTGTCCGCATGTCCCACGACGTGCCGAGCCTCGACATCAAGCTCGGACGGATTGCAAGCCTTGCCGACGACTTGACGCTTAGCGTGGAGGCGCGCATCGCTGCGTCGGTCCCAGGCAAGGCGCCTGAGGGCATCAAAGTCGCCATCGAGTCCCGCGAGCAACACAGCCATTCGAGAAAGGTAGTGTGAAGCCCGAGCGCACGTGTTTTGTGTGCGTTGGGCATAGACAATGAAGGCCCACCGGTGATCAAGCCCACCCGGTGGTGGCTGACGCAGCTTGTGCTGACAAAAGAATGTCCGTCAACGCGGTGATCATGAGCCTGCTATTCAACGCCACGCCCAATGTAATGCGCGTCGATCTGAGAATGTTCAAATTGAGGGCAGACAAAGAAACTCCGCATCTCTTGCTGCCCGTATCGCGAGCCATCCTAAACTGAGCGGCGTTGGCCTTGCGCGGAGTCAATGGGTAGACGAAGCGCCGATGCAAAATGCTCAGCGACATTGGTGTTCAGCATCGATGATTACAATCAAAGGATGCGTGCGATCTCATAATAGCGATACAATCATCGCTTTTGCATCTGACGAAGTGGGACTTGCCACAAAAAGCCTGCACGCACGCATCATACATTTCGGTCATTATGTCAGGTGCACGCCTCCCGTAGACGCATGTCAACATGAAATGTACACACTACATCGGGCTCCAAATACTCTTACATGAATACATCGATCTCTCTGCGCCCGAAACATCATCCAAATGGGCAACAACCCCATTCTGCTCGTCCTCGCAATCTCTGATGCTTTCGGCAAGCCGACGCCTAGTATCTTGGCCTCGTGGGCCTCATCCGAGAGCCTCGCCGCCATAGGGAGAGTCAAAAAGTCTTTCACATCCGCCCTGTGAGATAAGAGGTTAGCTGAATCCTTCGACAAATATCTTGGGTCGACCATCCTCTGTGATCAAAACGCTCTCATGATGAAACCATGTGCAATTTCACTCACGGCCGGACCTGATCGGCCGCTTGCCGCGGCACAAAAGCTGAGCTTGGACCGAATGATGCAGCTTGAGAACAGCAGCGTTTGCCGGATCTCTGGACGACGATGACGGTGGTGTACGTAGCGGCCCAGAAGACCTCGAGACCGGGCGGAGGCGCTGTGCTGGGCGCTTTGTTAGCTCTCGGCCACACTGACTCTGCGAACGGCGGGCACGAAGGCAATTTGCCACCGGGCAGGATTCCGCAGTCGTCTCGCACCTCCTGCTGCCGGTCTCGATGTCACCAATCTTCCGCGTTCTCCCGCGCATCAACAAGACTACGCTGATCGAGGAGTTGCTGCGCAAACCGCCGCATCGAGGGCGCCGAAGATGTCGGTAATGAACCCGATCGAGCCGGCATCGCCGCCGGCCACGCCCATCTCGTCGGCGGGACATGCGGTTGTGAGCGCCACATCTCATCGAGCAACCCCTTTTCGGCCAGAGTGCGGACTGCTGTGGCCAGCGGGATCCTTTCGCATCTCTTCAGACAGGCGCAAAAAACAATCGGGGATTTTCTAGCGTGCCTTCATGACGACTGCCCTATTATTGGCGATATCTTCTTCATCCCAGGGAAACGGATACGGACGCCGTCAACAAAAGGCTGCCGATCGCAAAGACCAGCGCAATGCTAACTTGGACCATCCCATGCGTGCAATCTCTCTTGAAGGCCTGCCTCAGCTTCTGACAGACATGCGCCCGAGATATCCGATGGACGAGCTGAACCAGCCTTTTTCAGCGGCCAGCCGCAAATCAGTGTGGGCCCACCGACAGCACTAGCAACGCCTGAGCCATAAATGTCCTGCGAGCCGCTTATTGATTTAGGTTTTTTACTCGCAAATGTCAGTGCCCAAGTATCCCCCAGCTGCGCAACGCGCAAAAGTCATTCGAAAGGGACTTTATGGGCATGTTGGACTTGCCGAAGCAAGGGTGGAGCGGCAACGACCCGGCGCCAGACTTTTGCGACAGGATGCATTCCTCAAGAAACTTTGTGCCGCTTTCCAAAAAACAAGGGCTTCACCAGAGGACCCTAAACTGGCCCCCTTTTTTTTGCCAGCTTCTTTGCCCGCCTGCATGTCGAGCAAGACGCACAAGCCGCCCATGAATGTCAACCCACTACCTGAGCGCTTGTTCAAAAACCTGCTCGAAGCCGGCAAGATGCAGCAGCATATGGAGCAGGGCGCTACCGTGACCCGCACAAAGCACCAGGTGATCGCTTTGGGTCATCGATGATGCTCGGGAATTGATAAGGAGCTGGCTTGTGTAGGGGAGCCAGGTTATCGGAGTTGCGCCAATCTCGACCGGCGCCTC